TAAGAAAAACGAACTCACATTAGCAAAGTCGCATGTAATTATTTTCAATACCGTGACACCGTTACAGCTTAAACTGGAGTCTAGGTGTTGGTAATCGATTGTAGGTCATCTTCTGAAGTTCATACGGTGTCTGTCCGATAGTGTATCGGATAAAGTCTCTGTATGATATAGAATGTATTCATAAGTATTGGAATTGACAACCGAAATTGGGACAAACTTACCTGGTTTCCGTAATTGTATTTGATCAGCCTTTCGGTTGTGTATACCTTAGTCATTTACATCTAATATTCGAACTGTGGATTTGCCAAAATTCTTCGCCACAATCCTCGTGGCTGGTCAAAGATCATTTTCACTATAATTTATAACTTCTGTAGACTCCAAACACCTAGTAGGGTCAGTGAAATATTGCGGAGTCCTGGCCAAATCATCCGGCGGCTGGATCGCTGAATATCGGACAGGTCACTCATCCCCGTCAGTCACAGACAACCGACGCTCATCAATTAATGGTACTCAATGGACTGGCCCATGCGGTAGTGCTCACACTTCCACCTGTACCTACTATAACCAATATATTTCTGTGATAACGTCCCTTGTGTTGTACGATCTTCAAAGCTCCCACAGTAACTTGATGCAACGAAGAAGTGATACACGTTGGGTGCTGACCTCGAGGTGTAAATTGGACTTTAGCTGTTGGTCACAACATCCCTGTCTAACTCGCGTAGGCCCCCAATCTTTCGACATAGACCATCTACGTTAATGACCTGCAACCTCATGTTCGAACAAAGAATTCTTCCCTTTAATAGCTTTGATGGAGTCTTTTTCGTTACAGAATGCTTAGCATTTATATATTGCTGTATCTACTCTTTTCTCCAGTTCATTAAATGTTGAAGCAGCAATAGAATCGTTAGCAATTTTCAATGTCATGACAAAACTTTCTGTCTGACCATCAGAACAAGGGTACTTTGGAGTAGTAAACAGATGTCCGCACTCTATACCATTCAACAAACTAGAGACTGCATCCTCAGCAAAATGGGAACCGTTATCAGTCACTATCACCATGAGTACACCATCTCAACTAAATACATTTCTTTATGCTTGGATTATGAAGTCAGAATCTGGTGAAGTTGTGGCAAAACTTCAATCTACCTTGAAAAAGAATCATTGACTACAAATGCTTAGTGATTACCAAGAAATGGCCCAAACACAGTCAGCATGAATTCTCTGCCAGTCTTCAGACGATACTGGCCACGGAGTCCACTTCGAAAGCTGACTTTTCAGCTTATTACATTTTTCACAATTGTTTGCTGTACGACATATATCTGAATTTATCTCTGGCCACCAACATGTGAGCCTTGTCAACGACTTAATTTTCTCAACACCTAAATGTTCACAATGAAGATCGTCAAGGACAGATTTACGTAATGAAGGGGGAATAACAACACGATCATTTAGACACAAAATACCATCAGGAGTAGTGGATAACTCATCCGTCTTCGAATAACAGACAGGAAATCCACGTTTCAGATTAACATTCCAACCTTTCCGTATAGCACTGAGTGTACACTCAAAGTATCTACGAGTTGCTCTTATGAGATCTGGACACCTCATCGGTAAAGGTTTCACTAACAAACAGTCTGAAGTATTAACAGGTCTATCTTGTAACGATTGTCGAAAAGTGTAGTCAACGTGACAATCAGTTAGAGGGCGAATGTCATGAGTAAAGTCGAGTTGGTAGAAAGTATACGAGCGGTTTTCGTTCCTGAGGAGATTTAAGCCTTTATGATAAGATTTGACTGTACTTGGGACCGACTTAACAGGTTGTTACGACTGTAGGACCAGTGAAATGTCAGCGGGCCTTACCCAAGTCATCTGGATGTCGTATCACTGAATATCGAACGGTTCAGTGGTCCTCGTCAAGATCAAGAACAACTAACGCTTATCTGTTAATTGCACTCCATGGACTGGCCCATGCAGCAATGGTTGCAATTTTTTTTTCGTACCTAATCTTACTAATATATTTCTGTAATAACGTCGTTTGCGATGTACGGTTATCAAAGCAACCCTTGAGCCTGGATACCATGGAGAGGTAGTTCACGTTAGGTACTGGCTGCGAGATGTGACTCTGACGTTAGCTAGTTGGTCACATTATTCCCGCCTTACTCGAGCGGGCCCCTAGTAATTCGACACAGATGATATACTTTAGTGATCTACACGACAATCGACAAGACGACAACCATAATATTGAGAATAATTGAAAATCGATCACTTACTTTTGGGCTGAGTCATATATCTAGAAGGTCTATTACACAACATAATCTCTGCTTACACAATAAACTGATTAAGTAAGTTATTAGTGCTCTGGGTATAAACAGACTTGATCTTGTCAATATATACTGGATAAAAGAGTGGAATAATTCCTAAATATAATCACTATGTGACGGCCAAAATATTAACATTTGGTTTGAACGCAGAACTAACGTACCCAAATTTATTCGATTAAGCCAGTCTATGTTCATCTGTACGAAGCGTACGAAGCATTTTTCAGCGACTCGTATTAAATTATATCAAAACACAAACTCTGTGTTCAATTTGAACAGTTTTCATTTGAGAAAGAGAACATATATCAAAAGTACAAAATACATCAAACGGTACAGCCTGTGCTATACAACCAAGTTCTTCTCTAACAAAAACAACGTGCTAACCAACAAAAGGAATAGTTAATAAACAAGAGTTCAATACCTGGGAATCAAAAAATTATTCCCTGTGAAATGCGATTAGATATCTATCTGCATGGGCTCCAGCAACGTCCTCAAGCAGACAGTCAGAGGTTATCGGTCATACGCTGAACCGCACAGTGACATTCAGTTTGGTTAAATATGACATTGTAAATGGTCAGACGATATGTGACAGCAAATTAAGTAATAAAAGATAAATCTTTGACTAAGATCAAATAACAGAAGCTATGACAAGGAAGATTGAGGAGCATGATATGTGGTTAAAAAGAGACCCAATTGAAGGTTAAAATATAAGGCAAAGGAAACAAAATAACAAATAACAATGCTGTTCGACGAAATACTGATGAGGGATTTTCAGTGATTTCTTTCCGTTTTGCACTGCGTCCCATCGTCATATCACAAAAGACTTCTTTTCACTCTCTCATTTTCACATATATTACACCACAATTATATTTCCACCCGGACTGCAAAAACTCAACTTTTTTCACCATCCTACCTTATTCACTATGTCTGCAAAATAATCAACTAAGGGACTATATTGTAACGTGATAATAGCCGGTTCTAGTGGTCGTACTACCCGGGAAAAATTCAACCACATTAACTCAAAATATATCAACTTCTTACCTACGGAAACCATTACGAATATGAGTGGCTTGACCAACTACATTCGATGATGCAAATATTTAGATCTACTTTGTAACAACAAGATGAGAAGCCAGTTCATTATAGCGATATCCATGCAGCATCACGGTGCATGATGAAACGTATCAACACATTTTCCTTTTTAATATCACTTTTACATGTACAGGTCACCACTCGTGGTATCAGCAGTTCCTTATCATTATACATAGATACTAGATAGACTACAACCTCTGTAAGTTCTTAGGTCCTCTATTTTTCTTCTCTACTTACTTAATTAATCGACATTATTGTTTAAGGATGACATCAAAATCTGGAGAACAGTAAGAATTGAGGCTGATCATTTTGATCTCCAAGTTGACCTAGACGAATTACTTAGATGAGTTCAATATTGGGGCTTATAAGTTGCTTATAGGAAGAGTGTGCTCATGCACATCGGACACAGTATTAGTTACCAGTATTTTATTGACGGTACATCTCTTCCATGCATTCAGGAACAGAAAGACTTAGGAGTAATAATAAGTCATGACTAGAAAACAACTACTCATTGCAACGCAGCAGCTGTTAAAGTGTTTTGTGCGTTATGGTCACTTAGCTGAGCATTCAAATGCTTTGACGAGATGTTTCGAATTTTATATCCTACTTATGTTAAAGCACACTTGGAGTACTGTGCCCAAGCAGCTGGCCCATGTCTGATTAAGGGTATAACTCACTTCAGCATGTGGGGAAAAGATTATTGAGGGGTCTGTAGATGATGTCGAGTCGCGATTGACTATGACCACCATTACATGAAGATTATCTGCCAGGTATTGATTTGAATCCCTCGGTAGCCCAAAACCCAGAAGGCTGTTAATGGTTTCAATGAGACATATATTTTAGCGATCTCGTGGTATCGAAAGAATACAGAGACGTGTCAAAGTCTAGGGGCTGAACTGTCGTGCGTAAGCAAGCTCGTGCAAGGTCACACGGAAGGAAAAGTGCTTTTGGTACAGTTAAAAAAACAAGTACAATAAAATAATAACTGGTACAATTGGTTATAATAATAATTGTTACCATTATACCAATCGCGTTCTCGCCATAAAAGTAGGTCACTACAGGTCTCTCTAAACTACCTTATGATGAGAGCTTAAAACACCTAAACCTTTTCTCATTATCGCAAAGTGACCTTATACTGGCATTTCGTATCTATAATTACGATTTGGGTGTTAACATGTTCTATATTTTTGCTCCCTCCAGCACTAATAATCTCCGAGATCACAGCAAGAAGGCTCACAAAACGTGATCTAATGAACTTAAGGTGGGGTTCCTGTGATGTTTAAGAGTATTTGATTTATAGTAATCCCAGCAACAACGCAATTTAATCAAGAAGTTTTGGATGAGCACGGACGAATGTTCTGTATTTGGAATTCAAAATTGAAACAGTCATCAATGCAAAGAAATCATTGGTTCATCTAAACACCACATTTCCGTTTTGCTCATCGAGTGGTCAATGACTGGAACACCTTACTCGAATAAGTAGTATCAGCCCCGCCAGCTAACACTTTCACGCAGAATCTGGACCTTCACTGGAAGGCAAACTGTTAGGATTAACACAGGTCCACCAGCCTACTATCCTTATAACTGAAGACCGATTGAATCGAGCAACCTCAGGCGCGCGGTTTCGAAAGGTGAGTGGCAGTGTTTTGTTTGTTCTTATTTTTTGCATTCTGCCTAGTAACGAGCCCTGAACTTTAATACTACTTTGGGTGTTGCGTCCGATCTTCAATTTTTTGCTACGCCGAACCTTTACTAAAAGTTACCATCCGTCTGTCGTCTATCTTGCAGTTGTAGGTTAACCTACTCATGAAAGCGCACAATTGTGCTCTTAATAATTGTTAATATTGAACCTCCTTCTTAAGGATGATATCTGAAGGTTGACTAAAATAGGTTTTATTTTGGATCTGATCTCGTAATACCCGTCTGAGATCCATCCGATTACTTTGAATTTACTGAGTAGACTTTATTTTAACCACAGTATAGACCACTCAAATGCCACTTTTAATCGAAATTCATTTCAGTGAAACTGTGCACAGCTAAAGTTTATGCTTTAAGTCCATTGTATTGAGAGTAAAAACACTCAGCGAAAACCTGAGTACACTATTGGGTGATGGGTGGTCAAGCATTTCCATTAGAACTTTGGTGACAGCTTAGTCTGATAAAGATTTCTCTTTACCCCGGGAACATAATATAGATACTGGCATTTTTGTGACTGCATCAGTGGATAAAGGAAGACGACGAGGAAATAGTAAGTTAAATAAGGACAGATCAAGGTACTGTAAAGTAAGCGTGATATTATGTTTATGATTCGTGAAAGCGCAACGGTGAGTGTTCTAATACCACTGTTTATTTATTTATTTATTTAAACACATAAATATTGGTACAAGGAAGCACCAGATAAATATGCGCCGCACAAATCTCATTCGATTTGTGTGAGGGCTGTGATACTGCCCAGGTTCCCAGACTGAAGCAGGTGGTTTTCTTAGGGGGCCACACCCGGAGCCTTTGACCTGAATGTCTGATCCACAAGGCAGTGGAGCATCGTGAGGAGATGCAGTCCTATGGTAGCCGGTGATCAACGGTTGATTCGTACGCTATTTGTTCCCTCAGGATACTGGAGCCAGCCCATGTGCACCATTGGTTTGGAATCAGGGTTTTCCAACTCCCCTAGGTGAACTTTCCATGTCCACCAACCTGGTTAAAGCGCCGGACATTCGCTTTTCGCCCTCTCACTTTCGTAAACAACACCCTCGCCACGAGGAGGCAGTGAGTAGGACTTCCCTGGCAGAGGCTATAATATTCGCTGGCCATATGAGAGCATTTCGAGAGGGAGAGGTGACTCTCCCCACTCTTGGTCGTACCAGGGCATTTGGGGGCTAATACAACTGTAGTCGGTCTAGGCTCATATCACATGAAGTCCCCTACTGCTAATTTCTATCTAATTTCAAGATTCACCACATTTAATTATTGTTTGTCTCTATTTTAGGCAAATTCACTTTCAGGGCTATAAAACTGAGAATATCTACTTTTCCACAATGTCAACCGATTTCGGATAAAAGTGACAATTTAGTAACAAATGAACAAAAAACATTTTATAAAAACTGGAAAGACTACTTGGATATATTTATATGTAACTTGAGTAGTAGTCGAGAATATAGAAATTGGGTAAAGATCAATTTCTTGAAAACACGTTGTGTAACACGATGGGATAGTGTTGCAGTGATGTGTAATCGAGAGGGGAATGGAAATAGATCTAATTGGTTATGTATGAAAGTCGATAAAATAGGAGATGGAGGTTGGTGAATTAATAAGACTAGAGGCTGAAATTGCGTTAGAAAAAGTGGATGGATAAGTTTAATCCATGGTTCTGAATTGTTTAGGTATATGGAGTAAACTTGGTAAATGCACGGTAGTGATCATATGTGTGAAGCTACGCTCCAGGTCGTTAATAAGCATAAGTTGACCGAAGAACACTAACCTCAAGGTTTATGGGATCACTTTTTTTCGGGGGGAAGGGGTTACAAGTTTGTCTCATTGAATTTTTTCAGATTTTATCAACAAGGTTATCAGGCTCAAACTACTTGATAGTCAAAATCCTTTGACAAGGAGGAAGAGGGAGTTCTAGTGTACTAGAAAGTCCAGATTGGCAAAACGAAAAGTCTGTCATTAGTTAGTAGCAAGTACTCACTGGTATATACTTAAAAAAAATCCGACCAATACTCATTTATGACATGCTTTTTTATAACTAAGTAGATGTAATGGAAGTACTGATTTTACCCCTAAGCATTCTGTGTTCACTGAGTTGGAGTTACTTTTATATCCGACTTCCTGATTGTCGCAACCAAGTTACACAACTCATGATACATTGTTAATTATTCTTTGTTTACAGATGTTATATCTTTTCTGAAGGCCTGTATTTCTACTCATCAAGTATCTTCACCAATAGTTTCGTACGTAAAGGTGCAAATCATAGATGGCTGAAGACAGCAGTGGACTCGGTTACCGACTGGAGGAAATCCAGTCCAGTATTGCAGAAGGAAGGTTAATGCTTAACGTTCTTCGCTCCCTTCCAACCACTGAGGTATTTGGAAACTAAAATTATTTGTTCAGAATAATGATGCGTTCATAGTTCGTTTTGAGGATCTAATCAGTAGATTAGAAAACTATCAACTTCACAACAGGAAGAGCGAGGTTTGTTACATTTTTAAGTGACTTCTGGTGATTCAGGTGAAAGATGTAAAGTTACAATTGAGGACACTTAAGGAGCAACAAGACAGAATTCAGTCTCTCCTTGACCAAACAGCGACGAGTATACAGGTGAATATGAGAATTTTAGGTTTACTAACCAATTATTAGCAAAATATATCGACCATGTACATACATTTCAATGTTTGCCGTCATGTTTTTAAGTAGTGATTGCTGAATTGTGTTTATATTGTCAGCTCTTTCTAATTTTTTGGTACATCGAATTCGGTACGTTCCCTAGTCTTATTGATTTTCCACATACAAAGGTGCAAAAAACTAAACTCGAAGATCACTATATCTGTTTGTATTTATCAGGTGCTTATCAAACAAAGCTTTGATTTCGCCTCGGAAATAGTCTCATCGACATTTTCTCTGTAGTTATCATCTGTATAAAGCACCGTTTTACAAATGCCTCAGTTGTAAATTCCACAACACTTTGTCTAAGTTTCAAGACTACCAAGTTTAAAATGATGCTTTCACAACTATTTTGCGTTCCCATGTGGTCTGCCAGTTAAACATTGAGTTTGTACTTCTCACTGTGCTCATTTTCACTACAATTATGGTTCTTATTCATTTAGATAAGTGAGAGTCACTACTATTTACTATTTCCACTGCTTTGGGGTTATTGGCATCCAGGTTTGAAGTTGTTGTCAATGAAGCAGTTGGATTTACTTCGTTTCTTGTAAATTATGAAGACATAGTATTCTAATAATCTTTTGTTTAAAATGTATTATAGGTCGGATTAAAACTGTTTGTTTGTCCTGAAAGTTCGAAAATTCTCGATCTTGGATGTAGGCAGACATTTTTATTAAAGTCCCTTGTTAATTCAGTAAATATCGTGTGTTCATAGCGTCCCGTCAGTCTCTTGTCAGTCTGGAGGTCTATTAGTTTCTTCTGAAGATTATAATTAGCAGCCTGTATCAAAAAAAGTGTAAAGGTAGCCAAGTCAAACTGTTATTCAAATGCTTTAAAATCTTCAAAGCATGAAAACTTATTAATGAGTACTAAATCCTGCCGACTGTATTCCTAAACTGATTCTTGTCAGTCGCCTTGTATAACAATGATGGGAAATGATGGTATTTAAGCTTCTCAAGTTGTTTAGACACTGGATTAAGTTTGGTTTCACATACTTTTCTAAGATTCTAATAAAAAGTGGCAAGCTCCCCTAAAATAATCTCAAATAATATAACTTTTGTCCATTTTTACTCATAGTTCTAACTTACCTCACAGGCCATAGTTTGCCTATCTATTTATATTTCCTGGTAGTTGATATATAGGTGATTCGCATTGTAGGTCACCTGATGTTGGGTTTTTAAGTGGATGGTAGAAACAAGTAAAATTTCGTGTTCGCTTACAAATGAAGTTGTGCCTTCAAATATGGCTTGTTCGCAGTAAGTTTGGACTCATAATCTTCACACCCATGTTTGTCTTAAATTAAAGTGGAATTTCAGTTATGTAGATACTTCTGATAATTCATTATTGTGTTTTAGTATTTGATTCACGTTTCTTTACTGAAGGGTATTTCTGCTTTCTGTAGGATTCTGGTTTATCTGTAGCACCCGGTGGGTCTTCCAGTGATACTCAAGCAAATGTAATGTTTTCAAATTCAGCGTCAACACTGCTTTCTAAATTTGAGTCCTTACTGTCCAACGGAAACAACCAAGGTTGTCAAAAAGATGCTGATCGGGTTCCTTGTAGAGTTAATTGTTCACGCAACTTTAAACCTAAGCAAGAACCAGGGGACACTACCCAAGGAAACGATAAACTATCAACCCTTAACACTAAGCTATTGTTGAAACCTCTAGATTGTGAAGAGTCGACAGATTTATCTACTCAATTCGATGTAAGTTTGTCTCATGTCAAATGATCACTAATTTTTATTTTGAGTAACTTTCGGGTTAAGTATTCGGAAAGAATGTTTTCTTACTTTTATACGCTTGTTTAGTGATGGGAAGTTTCTATATTCTCTTATTTACAGCATTGGTAAAACACTGGGTTCTGGACCAATAAATCGCAAGTTCACTCTGCTCCATATACTTCAGCCTGGGCGGTCGTAGAATCACTAAACCTCATACAAAGTACTGAGTAGATAGTCATGTATTTAATAAATGAGCTACACTGGCATCAATTTCTACTTTTGTCCAGAGATCATGAATTCAAGCCATATAATAAATGGAATAGTTTTATGTATAGTCTTTTTAAATCGTATTGAAACCTTGAAGTGCTGATTCTACGTTTAAATTTCATACCCTTTTGTGATTTAGGTGCATCTGTCTGAACTACAGAAATTGATTGAAGAATCGGAAAGATTTGATGAGATGGTTAAACGACTTGTATTAATAACAAGGAAAGCAGTAAGTCGTTTGAGTTGACATCGTTATGTTAATCAGTCAGTTAGTCACACGTAACGTAGAACCTGGGACATGTATGTATCTTTTCAGGTTGCCACACTAGCACAACGAGATGGAATAGTCATGGCAAATTATAGAACAAATATAGTAACGGTAGTAGTGGCAGCAGAAAAGGTTAGGCATATAGTTCGAGAAAATATAGATTTGTGGGATGATTGTCTTTTGTCGTTATTTATTCTTTATTACGTTTTGTACAATAAGGATTCAACTCTGAACGAAGTCATCTTGGTATCTAAAGAAAAGTTACCTAGATGTTTAGTTCAGTAGATATAGATTGTGTACTATTTAGTTAAATAAAAATTTCTAAGCATATCACGCGACTAATTTATTTTATAACTACTAGTATAAGACTTCGTGAAGTTTCATACCTCATGTGTCTTGACAACGCAGTTGTGAAGCCTAAAAATTTATAAAGCGAAATGTCGTCAGTCGATGGATTCATTGACAATTGGACTAAACCATGTTGGCAGATGTAGACTACCTGGTTGGGGTTCGCATCATCTTAACCAGTAGTTGGAGACTTTGAGTGACATGGCTCAAAATCACTTGGAATAGTTCAGGTGCATCCATTCTTCGTTCCCCCCCCCCGATTCTATACTTCTAAATGCCACATACTTTTCCTATTTCATTAATTTGTATTTTCTTGAATCGTTTGTTCGACGCCTAATCTTTTTTATTACCACTTACACTGTTATTATTTCCACTACTCTAGGATTTGTCCTAACAAATTCATCTCCCTGTGTTAATGGGTATGGGAATTCGAATTGATGTACATATGTACCAGGTTCTATGTCACGACTAACTTTTATTCCACGAATTCCTTATTTTTCGAGTCATATTTATCCTTTCCTCATATTGTTGATACGTCTATTATTCCTACTCCTCTACGTTCCATCTTATTACTTTCACCTTATTGTGTTGATGCGGTGTAGTAACTTGGATTGATCAGTATTTGTGCCAGATTCTTCTTTGATTTTCGTTGATTTATTGTTATTCATTAATCTACCCATAATTCTCCTTTCAGCTAACTGTCTTGTTAGTATGTCATCACTACTTCCTTTTTTCTGTTTTATCATATTGTTTTCTCATAGCCAACTGTAAGGATAAGGTACGTATCTCGCAATTATTGCTAAAAATTCAGAAGTAAATTCACATAGATTATTCTATTTCCTGTACAATAATGTACCAATCTCCAATTTTAACTGGTTTAATTGATAATTATAAAGATTGATCCAATCTAAACCTATTCCTTGTTCTCTCTCTCTCTTTCTATATATATATATATATATATATATATATATATATATATATATATATATATATATATATATGCATTTAGTACTCAGGCAAATTTAATTAAATAACATTTTGAAATGCTAATTTTGATAAGAACGTGTGTATCTTATGTTAAAATTTATTTTATTCGCTTCACTAGAATCTTGGTGAATCTACAAAGTTGCTGGGAGATATTTCGAAACGATTCTCTGAGCTTCAGATTAGTTTTAATTCACTCAAAGAAAGTTATGATGTAAGCGGTTGTAATATGATACATTTTATCCTTAATGTATATTCTGTTCATTCAAAATTGATATTTTGATGTTTGCTTTTATTTTTGTTTGTGAATAATATTTTACTCTTTAAGAATAACTAAAATATGCATCAAATCAGTTTAAACACAATTTATCATATGATTTTGAAGTACTTTTGGACTTTCGTAAGTAAAAAACACACCATTTAGTTGTTTGAAACCACCCAATATTGTGGTGCTTTTAACACTCGTCCACAACTATCTCACGAGTTGCCCATTCTTCCGTGACAAATATCAAAAGTAATCTCTGATCAAAGGGGATTATGCACACGTGTCCGACTGAAATCAATAATCCATCTGTGATCTTGAGATATTATTTCTCGTACCAATATTATATTAAACATGTGTATACATGCTTTGATTTCTAAACGGATGTGCTACATTTTCTGCATGAAAATTTGTTTATTTTTCAGTCACTTCATAGTGAACCTCAACTCCCTCCTGAATTGCGCAAAGTTCAGGTAAGTGTATTGGTTGTTTTTCTTGCAGTGTTCACTGGTGTGTTTGAAGTTCATTCATATATTTTTCCATCATTTCTATTTTAATAAATGTACTATTGTGTTGTTGTAAACTTCGTTCCTAGTTTGATTTTTTTTCCCGTTTTTATCCTGTTCAAAGCATGAATTCAATGCTTTATTTTGGCTTTTGTATATACCTTATCAAAGATTATCATCTTACAATTTTAGCTTTCAAGTTTTCATGAATTTCTCAACAGTCTTAGCCGTAATTTTGATTCAACCAAAGAATGCTTTTACACGATTCATCATCTTGTCAAGGCTACTATTAAACAACAACTAGTAAGAATTGAGCTTTTTTTCGTTTTTATATGTTTCTTATTATCATTCATAATTTTATTATTATTTCATGAAATTCAGCTTATTGTTATATTCATTTGACATACTCGCTTTGTTTTATCTACACAAAGTGATATTACAGCCAAATACTTATGGCATGACCGTTTTATTTCTGAAGATTATGTTAACAGGCACTACACTTTTTAAAAATTAACCCTATAACATCTAACGCTTATTAGTCCTCATTTGCGAATGTTAATATTTGTTGTCATTTCAGAGTCAAAAATAGAACGTGGAATAAGCATTCCAACTCCCTAAACATTTCTATTTAAACAGCTTAATAATATTATTGACCCTGGTATCATAACTGTGTCCTCATCGGCTTTTATAGGAATATATTTGTTTTGAACACATAAATATTGGTACAAATAGGCACCACACAAGTCACTTGATTTATATGTGGACCATGGTACTAAACGGGTTCCCAAACTGAAGCAGGTGGTTTTCTTAGGGGGCCACACCCGGAGCCTTCTACATAAAGGTCTAGTCCACAAGGCAGTGGAGCAACGTCAGGAGATGCAGTCCCATGGTAGCCGGTGACCAAAGATTGGTACATACGCCATTTGTTCCTTCGGGATCCTAAAGTCCATGCACACCCTTGGTTTGGAATCATGGTTTTCCAACTCTCCTATGTGGACTTTCCGTGTCCATCAACCCGATTAAAGCGCCGGACATTCGCGTTTCGTCCTTTCAATTTCGTAAACACCCCCGCCACGAGAAGGCAGTTAGTAGGACTTTCTTGGTAGTGGTTGTATTCATGTGTCTGTGTGAGAGCATTTCGTGATAGAGCTGACTCTTCCCACCCTCGACCGTACAAGGGCATTTGGAGGCTTATCAGTGTCAATATAAATATGCATTATTTTGGACATATTTTTACATCTGGAATTCACAGATGTTTGATAGATTGATTATAAACTGTAGATTGAGTAAATATTCATATAAAAGATGAAATACATCTGCAACTTTCTTACCAGGTCTTATCCATTAAAATGGTAAACTGAATATTATACAAATGGTCTTTTAGTATTAGTTTGCCACCAAATCTCTACTCTCATACAAGCAGTATTCTTGTGTCATGTTGAGTTTTTCATAGATATTCAGTACAACGTAGAAAATTGTGAAAAACAGAGCTTACTCAAACTGTATTGTATGTTGTTTTTTCGAAAAAGATAATTTTTAGCTTACCGTCTTTAGGTTGTCTTCATTATCCATGCATATATATAACACGTAGACTAAAAAGCTATTGATAAATACCCACATTATTCTCATAGTTCACTGGTTGAGATTTTCCATTCTTTGTGATTGTTTCATAAACAAGTGTCTGGCAAAGTTTCTAAGCAATGTTATACATTCTGTTGTTCTTACTGTATACTACAGAGACACTATAATCTGATTCCAGGAACAGCAAAACTATATCCATCCGTTCTTTAAAATCTACTCTTCTTTTTTTTAAAGGCAAATGGAACGCTACAGGATGTAGACCATAGTGATGATGAAAATAATTCAACTTTGCCTGTCAATTCAACTGGTTCTGTTACTGTAAAAGACAGCAATATAGAACTAAGTAAGACTTTTATCTCTTATTTCTAAGTCATATAAATAGGGTGGAATATTGATATTTAAGCGGTATCACATGTATGGCACTTCTTTTAGTATGATAATAATAAATATTCAGAATAATTTCTAGTAGTAATAAGTAATTGTCCTTTTTTGTTTTGCCAGATACAAGCAAACAAATTAATCATGAACACGTTGAAGATGTTGATCCTGAATTTTTAACTCAGAAGGCTTATTTAATAGCATTACAACAGCGTACAGCTCAAGAAAAAGAAGAAATCGCAAAATTATTACAACAACGAGATGAACTAGCTGGACGTTTGGCATCACTTAAAGCAGGTAATCTTCTAGTCAACAAAATAAAAAGGTCATTATTAATGTAAGGAACGTTCGTAGTTTACATCACGAACTGAAATCAGTTATACAACAATTAAAAACCAGGAAGCACTGGACAGCTTCTTCGTCCTAGTGTGGTGCTCCTCATTAGTACACATCCCCAGCTCACTGGGGATCTCACCCGGGATCTTTAGGTCTTGCGACAAGGAATTAACTTTTAGACTACTGGACGAGACTATAATTTATGGACGATCTTCGAACGAATCGGAAAACAGTCACTACAGAGTGAAAATATATTATACAAAACCAAAGAATTAAAGTGGATACATTTATTCTACATGGTTCAAAAACTTGTCAAGGTTAGAAAGAGGTTCGGAGGTTCTAAAATCGTAACACATACGGTAGAGGAACTCATCCGTATGGCCCCATAATAGTCGACCTCTGGAGCCATGATAAGGTCGCAAAAACTCTCATCCTCGACCACATAGCTTCAATATTATTAGTGTGCACTCTGGTTGTTGAGTCCACAAAATGGCGCTTGTGGATAACGACATGATGCACATAACTAAGTCTGTAGGCATCTGTACGCTCTCCAATCGTCTGTATATATTGTATTGCCCGGCTGCACATATTCCCGTATAATTGGTATTATCGTTGTTTCCTATCGATTTCTAACCCGTTGGAAGTGTCCCTTTTGAGATGACCTGTTGTATATTCCAAGTCAGTCCAAGGACCTATGAGGTATATATATATGTAAGTGCTACTTACCCAGTCTTCCTTAACATTACATCCTCTGATGAATTGTCGTTTTCTGACTACTGTTTCGTCTGTTTGAACGATTCTCCCGACTCACCCAAACGACTCGTGTAAGCTTGTCATTTTTATTGCTCATACCACTGAACAGCCGAAGCTTCAGTAACATCTGCAGATGTTCTAGCTGGTGTTACTGGTGCTTTTATTATCCAGTTCGCAACAGTTATCATAATTTGCCTTAGTCTTAATCTGGATCGAGCGAAAAACGTTCTTGTTCTAACAGACTTCTTCCTCCAACATAAATCAAATCGAAACACAAGGTCCAGCAGTCGTTTGATTACCGCAATCACAAATAAAGGAATGTTATAACGTGCGGCCGAGTGGATGCCTTGTTAATGTTCAAACGTGATAAGACCGCCAATCAGAGAGCAGCGAATTATCGATCGGACCAATAATACACAAAAGCCATATGAGCAGTCTTGAGTACTTATCAGTCCTGCTGCTGCCTAGCCCAGCCAGTTAAGCCCAGAACACCAATAACAGCCTCTGAGGTATGAATCATTGTACTTCAAACATACCGAGGTTATATACCAATCAAACAGACCACATCGTACCATAAAATAGAAAATAACATATGTACAAGATTTAGCCAAATGTGACTGTGTATAGGGGGAACAGTAATTACTAGACTGGGTGTAATTCATGAATGGTAAGTCGTATAATGATAGACTATGGGCCAAAATAAAACTTACAATAAGAGGGATATGAATATGAATAGTTTAATTATTTAGCAATTATACGACAAAAAATATATGCATAGTATTGGTTCATAAATAGATCCCAAAGTTACCATTCATTATCCTTATCGGGACATAACAAGGAACTTCTTAGTAATTCCATTTGTTGTAACCGCTCAATTATCACGTCTCTACACTCTGCTTTAAACCGATCGTACATGAGCATCATGTACTGGAATTGGCGCCGTGACCTTGAATCGCTTCTGTCCATAAATTATAGTCTCGCCGACTACTGGGTTACCATCCAATAGTTTACGTTCCTAACCTTACAGTCAATTCAAGATATTACACAAACATTTTCCAATACCATTGATGGGTTATCTATTGTTTATCTGTTCAGAAAAAATCAAGCTACTTGTAATTTTATGATAATTAATTTCTTTTTTATTTGTCTTATTAATTTAGCTGCCAGTAGAGCATCATTTGATACTCTTGATACTTCTGGCAACTTAGTCGAATCAACTCAAACTGATGAGCTGGAAAATGGAAATGAACGGTAACATAAACATATTCTCTGTTGTTGCAAGATTTAATTTTCCTTTTTACAATGTTTTTCAGTGCAGTTTTTAGAACTATAAAGGAAGCTATTATATTAAATAGTAATAATAAATATTTAAAGCTTAAATCACACAACACAAACTGACAATTAATTGTAAAAACTATATTTTTACTCCTAGTAATAATGAATCGGTCAGTGTATCACCTGATATACTTTCTAGTTTGGAAGCTAAAAAACGTGAGTTGAATGAATTAAAAACTCAACTTGAACTTCTTCGCAAGGCTGAAGCTAAAATCGCTGAATTTACACCGGTTCTACAAGGTCCAAGAGATATAAATAATTCAAACATTGCCACTCTGCCACAAGAGACGTTAGACAATAAGCGAGTCACTTCTGTTTCGCAGTCCATTCTTCCAGAAGCCAGTTCACCTCGGACAAGATTTGAAATTTATAAAGATGACTCTGATGATCTAGTTAATACAAAACCTGCTGAAAATGTATCATTGTCTTCGGATTTATCAACTAAAGCTGATTCTGTAACTTTTCAGGTACCCATTTTCGGTATTTTCCTAAATTGTCATTATATATTAGGTTCTCATTTGAAATAGGCAATGTTGAGATGATATCATGAATTATTTATTGTTAAGAACATTTCCGAATAGTCCTAAATAGTAGCATGCTTATGACTTCACGGATATATGGTGTGAAGTTGAATAATTATTCTTACTGACTTGTACTTCTTATGGGACATAGTTTTCAGTTTTTTTACTAACTTGTATAGTGCCTCAACTCACTAATTCTGAAAATTTTAGATCAAGTTTGTGTTTGCTTTTTAGTTTATATGACGAATATTTCATCTAAAGTTTCAAGTCCAAGAAATATGATTGGAAGCTATGTACTCTATGATTGTTAGTATATGTATTGTAAGAATTGAATTACTACTTGCATTTGTATACTATACCAATTAAGTCTAAAATAAAGCAAGGCTAAGGTATATCAAGTTCGTAGAAAATCACGTAGTATATATATAAGTATAGGATGAAAGTATAATTTTCTCGAAAACCTTTGCGATTTCAAAATCCCAAACTTGGGAGGCTGCATTGACTGATACACCTCCCTTGATAACCATGTTTTCATTACAGCTGGTTTACTGGACGAAGATACATCACATTCTATCTCAAGGCCACGATAAACAAGATCTGCGTTTGGGTGGATTATTAGTGATAAATACATTTTCCACGTAGCGCAAGGTTACCACTCACATGTTTCTGTCAGTGTAGCTGTATATTATATGTATATGCTGTAAACATCATTCCAGTTTGGAAACTAAACTCTTCATAGTCTTAATCTTTTTTTCCATAGTCAGTAGCAAAACAGCATATAAATCCGAGCACAGAGCGCGGCGATGGACTTTTGTTTATATTTGTTTAGTTTGTTAAAAAGTGTTACTGTACAGAACGATACACTATTTAATGTAGGATTATGGTTTGATCCAGCTAATCATTTTATTTAAGATATTCAAAGCACCATTTTTATTTCTAAAAAATTTAAAATGTATCTGAATTTCTGTAGGATTGAGCGTAAATGTTTTCAGTTTATCCTAGAAACGTTTTTATTTGTTTGTACAGCAACCAGAGGTGACCTGTATTGATAATACCGAACGTTTGTATGTTAACATGCGTGAGGCACGAATACAAATAGAAGAACAACGGAATCGATATGATCGGATCACTTCAACTGGAATCAATAATACCAATTCTAGCACTCAAAAACCATTGCAGCATGTCAGTTGTAGCGGTGCTTCTGTCGCAACTAGTCAAGATAGAACAACTCTAGCAACTTGGGGTGGATCTTCACCTGTCCCTTCTTGTTCATCTGAAGCTTCTGAAACAAGTGACGAAGGAGATGGAGTTAGTGTTTCTGACTCCTTACCTTTAAGTAAGTTTCTCTCTGTTAGGTTTTGTTTATTAGCTATAACACACCTAGGCATATGATAGAGTAGTCAATTTTAGGTGTAAATAGTTGTTTGTGTTCTCCAGTCTTCATACTATTCTGCGTTACTACCACACTGAGCGTAAGTTTACACGATCATGGGTGCCAGGTTGTTTTACAATGAGTATCCTGGATCATTTAGTCAAATTAGTAGGTCACTGCATCCCTTCCTGATCTGAATTGTTGAAAATCCTTCTTATTAAGTGAAAGTACACTATTTACCAGTGATATCGTTGGTTTGTTCAAATAACACTGGATTTAAAATTGAATGTGTATGTGGATGATTAGCTTATCCTTTTTATTTAAAGAGGTTTGTTTTATTTTGAACTTTCATTTTTTTTACCTTTCCAAGTCTTGAAAATTATGATAATGTGCACCTCTCTTCTCTTTTTCTCTAAGATTCCCACGATCGTTCATGTTTTCTGCATTTCCTGTTGATTTCTCACTGTATCAACCGATGGATTTGTGACAAATCCCAAGTTATATTTTTGTTTATTTATTTTAACAAGGAATAGCTCAAACTTGTTCACAGTGGTGTAGATTGCTTCACCTATTTATTATGTTCTATATTTTACGTTCATACGTACGTACGTATGTACGTACGTTTAACTGTGATACATATACATTAAAATAGGTCAAAATCTTAATGTTGTTGATACATGAATTACTAAATAAAAGACCATAGCCACAACCTAATGATCTATAATGAACCAGGATTTCATTGTTATATGTTTTTATATGACAATTTAAAATGTTTGTTTTTCTCCAGCTTAATTTAATAGTCAAACCGTCTGCGTAATCTTACTGTAAAACATTATTGGTTGTACACCTGCAAGCTGTACTCCACTCACCCTTAACGCCTTTAGTGACAAATTCATTCAACTCTATACTCATATTTTCCATATTTACATAAGAATTCTATTCTTGAAAATAAAATGTTAGTTTATAATTACCTATATATGTCAATTTAATTAATTTGAAGGGGATTTGTGGGGATTTCAGCATATTTCAAAGTTGAAATCATGAGTCAATTAAAGCTAGACCACCATCGAAAACCTAGAAGCACTGGACGGCCTCTTCGTCCTATTATGAGACTCCTCAGCAGTGCGCATCCACGATCCTGCACTCGCGAGATTCGAACCTAGGACCTACCAGTTACGAGCCAGAGCCCTTAATCGATTAATTACTTCAAATATAAGTTATTTCTGTTACCTAAAATTCTTGTTGCAAAGTCGAATTACTAGTTGATTTTTTGTATGGTCAAAATCAGTGTGAATTTAATTCTCATAGACAAAAATACGAGTCTGATGATATCTAAAGTTAAAGAAAAAAACCCAGATTAGTTTCATTGAATCAAACACTAGTATCATGTACGAACCTTCAATGTACATTCTAGTTTAACTATTACAACATCCTATTATCATTCGAATTTCCAGATTATTTGGAATAACCATCAAATGTAAATGTGAAAGTTTTTCTTAATTGGTGGACAACTAAGAAAGTTTTTCTTTGTTACTCTTTAGTAGTGACCATTTTTAGTAAAGTAATGAACCTATTAGTAAGTTTTATTTTTTCTTTGTAATTTCAACAGGTACACGTCTTTCAGTGTGTGCAGTTAATAATGCTCCTAATGTTATTCGATCTGTTCCCAATGGGCATTCGAAAAGTGTAACCAGCTCTGTTGCAACCAGTTCTTTGGATATGCCTGGTGAACCATGTTCAGTTATCAAGAGAGCATCAAGAAAATGTAAAGATATTCACAGAAATAATTTAGATAATGTTTATGTTTCTTCTACTGGTGATGTTCCGTATAAATTATCACTTCCGCAGGTTGGTCGAAGTCCATCTCCTCCAACTCGCCACAAAAATAAATCAGGGGATACTGAAATACAGGATGGTTTAAATAAATTGATTGATCAACGTTTACACTCACAACAAAATTCATTAGGTGAACATACTAATGCCTCTACTAACCAGAATACTGGAGTTTTGGGTCATATAGTTGTTGCATCAAATTGTAATGACTTTGATGATGGTCGAATGTCAGATCTGTCCGGTGCCATAGCCAATGAACGTAAGTTATTTAAAAAATTCCTATTGCACGATTTCACTAGTATGCAATTTTCTTAGTTAATCATTGTCTACCAAAACTACTTTAATCACAAAATTCTATTATCTATTTTATTCTAACCGAAACTGTATTGTAGGTTTTCGCATACACACCACAGCCGTTATCACTGCATTGTCTCATCCTTATATTTTACCTCAAATATTTATAGGTTTGACTTAGTTTGTTGAGAATGATCAGGAGTTCATGATTTCTACGCCATTATTTGACTGAGATAAATACAGACAACCATCTTGGCACCAGTTTTCGGTTACTTTGCTAATAAAGTCTTTTTATAACTTATCCCATCATTTCAATGTTTACTTCAGTTATCCCGTGGTAGCATTTTAAGGAGGCCCCCTTGAAATCTTCGTGATTATTGTACTGTTATATTCTAGCTTTCAAACATTGTCGATTCTTAGTTGTAAATTGATTTAAGAGTGTCATGAACTGAACTTCATTTGACGATAGCAAAGTTTATCCATGATGAATTTTCCACTTCATTGCATTATTTTCGGCTTGTTGTTTGTTTAGATTACTAGTGGTGACTTAAATACCATCCAAATATTACTCATCACTCATGTTCCCATTATATGGTTAACGTATATCTCTAACGGTTATTCACTTCGACGTACGATAAGGAATTCGAATTCATCAATACAAACAGCGTCTTATCAATTACGTGAACATTTGTTTCAGAACTAGTACTATTTTCTACTTGTCAGAACTGACGGTATTTTTTGAGATTTTTTTTACCACGATCAAAAAAGGGTTATCATCTTCACATATGAAAAGAAAAAATAACCAATTACCTTATAACTGATAGTTATTTAATTAATTTTCACATTTTAGAGCAAAAGCAAAGTATTAAAATACATCCAATCGAAATATTTTTTACTAGCATTACTAAGAACATGCATATTTTTAGGAGTGTTTCGATATGTGTTTGGAGATTAATAAAATCAAACTGACAGTAGTATTTCATGCTTTTTATGTACTCGTTTCTCTGCTTACCAATAAATTTGTAATTAATTTTTGTTACCGTGCTGTCACTACATGAAATCTAAAAGTTTACTCTGAGTAGGTTAAATTTTTAGTAGTTTTTATAGCTTTACGTTGGATTATGTAATACCCTTTGATTGTAATATGTGAAGGAATGATTTTGACCATCAGCATTGTATGTTTATCTTTCCAATAGGGATTCAACGTTTAGAGACAAATGTAGCTCAGCTCTATCAAGTATGTCGTTGTTTGATGCTCGAAAACTCTCATTTGAATTCTGCAGTCACTCAGTTAATGTTACACAACTCATCTCACCAGCCTATTTCATCAATCACGTCTTTGGAACCGTCCATTTCAGCTGTTGGATCTATTGCATTTCATCAGTGTCAATGTAGTTCATCTGTTCCAAGTTATAACCAAATACTATTAACTGACTCTGGAGCGTCTTACCAAGCAATGCTTTATAGACAAGAGCATCCATCAAAGAGTTTACCTTGTTCCTTGAATGCGTGTCCACGAAGTTCTGTTGTATACGCTCCTAATAGTTTAAGAGATACTGATCAGCCACTTACACAAAGTGGTGTCCATGATGTTCCCCAGATCCAAGTATGTCTAATTTCCGTCATTTTCTCATATACATGTCCGTTATTCTGTTTATTATTGGAATGTCAGTTTTTAGTCCGTTTAAAAGGATCATAATAATAATATTTGTGATTTTTGTGACTACAAATGGAAGTCATCATTATTTTGTGTTAAATAAAATAGCTACATTTCTCATTGAAACAAGTGTAAGTAAAAATGGAGGCGAATGTAGATGAGTTTACATAAAGGTTGTATATATCTTACTGATATAGTCAAAGGCTAAAGAATGCAACTGTTTCATTGGTTCTATAACAAAATATGTATGGGAATCCCTGTACAATCACACGTCCTAGTTTCGTTATATATTACAATCAGTTTCTATAATGGAAATGTATTATAATTGATGTATCTTGAGGATCGCTAACCAATATCACGTGCTAAGCCATCAGCCAAAATCTTTATCCTAATTTGGTCTATTTTGCATATACTCTTTGATAGCCTAGTGTCCTCGGATTAATCGATTACACACCCGACCAGCACCGTCGACCTTGGTCCGATCCAGTTAAGTTTCTATCTGTCTGTTATTCAAAAGTTACTCTCTATGCCCCTACCTTGAGTCCAAAAGTCGGCGACTAACTTCCACTATATTTATATTTCAAACAGACTTGGTTTATAAACAGACGTATCGAACCCCATCACAATATAAAGTGAGAAACAATCATTATACACAAACAGACCAAAGATGTCTATGAATGGGACGAGTGTAAGCAATCGACTGGCAACAGATTAAGAATAGCAAGTCGTATGATCGTAGTTTATGGGTTAATCAAAATCTTATGATAAAAGAAATACATAGACATAGTAATTTAGCTACTTAATAAATATACAACAAGAACAGTAATTCATAAATTAGTTGTTGAAGTTACCATTTTATCAATTTTCGTTCTGATATGTCTATAGTAGGTTTGGGACTTTTGTCGTAGATATGAACTCCAACCTTCTTACTGTGGTTTTGTCAACCGACTGTTGTCACTATCCTTCACATATAAAATATTTTTCTTGTAACAGAATCTTTAATTCAAAGTGATTGTTGTCTACAGAAGATTGTAGATCCACTTTCCTCATTTTTGTTTCGAATTCTCGATTTGAACCACACTTCGTACACCATACTACTAATGAATTCTTGTTTCATCTATTAATCATAATCTTTTCTCTTTAGCTGCTTATTAATCAAATTATGCAGCAACAATCTAATCTTACTCAATTACAATTGGAACTTCATCGTTTGACGAGATCACAGTCACAAATTAAGCCGTCACTTCTTCCTACCGATGGTAATTTCTATGGACCTTTATTATCTCATCCGGAGAATACTGGGTTAAGTTTTCCGGCTGTTACTGCTCATTTACTACAGGGGACTGCAGGATTTCCTCCGTCTGTCGAGTCAATCGGCCGTCAGGTTAATTTTACAGGAACCACTAATTCTCCTCAAGTGCTTGGAAATTCTCTCGTCTCACCCCAGACTGTGTCAGCCAACTGGTCTTTGAATACCGTTCCTAATGTTCACCAGTGTTCCAGAGATGCTACATTTTCAAATATAGGTAATGGTCATTTGATATTTGTGTATTACTCATCGTTGTGTAATTCAATTTCTACTAAGTGTGTGGCGATAACGTTACTTAAGATCAGTCAAATCATGCCTTATCACGATTGCTCGATTGTTGTGGATTCATCAAATGCATATCGTTGAAGTTAGGTGCAAAGTTTTATGCAAACAGTGCTTATTTAGCCGGGTTTTGGAATTGAATCGATTGATTAGACTTTAGGCTATATGTTATACACTTCCTGTCATGATATACCGCGATATTTAGTTTTAAATGAAGGAGGAACAATTTTAAAAAGTTAGAGTTGTTCACACCTTGACTTAACACCATCCTGTAAAGGCACTTATTGTCATTCTGTTGGGTATGTTAGATCCTCAGAACTCGCTTGGTAAATGTCTTATTTTTGTAATTTTATTTTGGAAATTTGAATTTCTTATTTTCGCACCGAAAGCTCCCATTTTCACCTTCATATCGTATTTCCCACTTGAGAGGACTTTAAATGTCATTAGTTCGTCTTCTCTTCCAATATGTTATTTTGTTACGTTTACCAAGGACATTTTTACGCTGTGTATATATGCTTGAGGCGTGCTTGTTGTTGTTCATGCTTCTGGCTGTTTGTGGAATACATTTCCCCTTTTCTGAACCTGGACTTCTCTCTCTAGTTAGCGGGGCTGAGACGCGTCGGAATAATTAGCTTATTTGGTTGTTGTGTTTCTGAGTCTTCGTTCAGTTCTCAGATTTGGGTGGGCTCGTAATTTCTTCAAACATAACACATTCTGAATATTAACAAAACGTGGAGACTTTCATGTAGGATCTTTTGGACTATGGTAATCAGTAATTATTGTCATAGTTCAAAATTAGTCACAATGGTACAGATCCCTTATTTTTCACTAAATTTCTAATATATCGGTACTTTTTTTTCGTTTTCCTACTAAACTTATTCCGTTATCATTTATTATCACATTTTTTGTTAACATTTTTCCTTGTATTTTACCTTGGTGTTTAACATCGAATGGTACTTATTCCGTTATCATTTATTATCACATTTTTCGTTAACCTTTTTCCTTGTATTTTACCTTGGTGTTTAACATCGAATGGTACAGGGATGAGATAATCGGCTAGGTCGCTGAGTATACTAAGTTAATTTGGATAAGATTAAAGATCTCCACCAGTATATTAAAGTGGGTTGGAACAAGTGGTAATATTGATTAAATTCAGTCACTTCATCGTCGATCAATTAATCGATGGAAAATTTCCGATTTTTCAGCTACTTAAAGGTTAATAAAAAAATATATCTTTGTAATGTCCCAATCAGTAGAAAATTGTATTTCTGACATTTCGTGACCTAATCCAAGTCACTTCTTTAGAGTATATAACTATCATTTCCAACTTTGACCTTGACACTTATAAGCTACTTGAAGAGTTTAAAATATCATGTATTTGATAGCTTCCGACTAGGGAAATTTTCGGTATCATTCACGTGCTTCACTCTTATCAATGTAGTTTTGAATACTTAATTACAAGAAAGTTGTCGTTTCCTAAAGCAGTTTCGACAAGATTCAACGGTATACTTAAATATATTCCTTGATTCGTAGCGTGAGAAATACAAAAGGATTTAAACAGTGAACAATTTAAGCCTTAACATGAAGTTGTTAGATCAACCGCGTGTTTTAATACGAAGTGTTTTGTGTATGTTATATATATATATATATATATATATATATATATATATATATATATATATATATATATATATCAGTCCCAGAACTATTGCCATTTTCAATATATTATACTGTTGAGAAAATACATCAGAATTTCTCTTCGGCTACTAAGTTCAGTATATGCCATTTTTCGTGTATTTGAGATTTCCTTGATTTTTATGTTGTTAAACAGCTATTTTTTGAACGCGTTATTATGTCAACTAGTTATCTTTTCTTCAGTAGAAACTGCTAAAATATAAAATAATAGTGTCTATTTAAACCTAGTTAAAATTTTGAAGTGTAGTTTCATATAACGGTTACAATACAGTATCTTTTGCGTAATATATTCATATCGAACCTCGTCATTTATAATTAAGTTCCTAGATAGGTATGACTAAATTTCAAGATAGAGTGAAGAAAATGGCGCTCAGTAGTTGTTATTTCCTATCTTTGCTTAATTTTGAAAGTGAAAGACTGTTATAGTAATGATTATTTATTTGATACACACGAGCAAATGGAAATCAAGACAGCCACTATAGCGGAAGCCTCAACATACACAAGGGGAAAACCAAGATCCTCAAATACAACACGCAGAACACTAACCTGACCACCCTTTATAGAGAAGCTCTGGAATAGGTAGAAACTCACGTACCTGAGAAGCAGCATCGATAAACAAGGAAAATCGAATGCAATGTAAAGATAAGGGTTGTTAAAGCAAGGACAACATTCTTACAGTTGAAGAAAATATGGAACTCAAAACAGCTGCCAAACAACATCAAAGTCAAAATCTTCAGTAAGAACGTCAAACAGTTCTACTGTAGGTACGGGGCTGAAACTTGAAGAACTACTGCAACCATCATCAAAAAAGTACAAGTATCTATAAACAATTTTCTCCTCAAGATGCTCAATGTCCGTCGGCCGGATACTATCAGCAATAGCCCACTTTGGAAAAGGATAAATCAGCTTCCAGTTAAAGAGGAAGTTAAGAAAAGACTCTGCATGAAGTCTTCAAAATGCATCAACAGGCAAGTGCTAGTTTGGAATCCTGAAGGGAAACGGAAATGAGGAAGGCCAAAGAACACAGTGCGTCGGGGATTGGAAAGAGACAATAAAAGGATGAATATGAACTGTAAAAAAACTGGAAAAGACTGTCCAGGACAGATTTGGATGGTTTATGCTGGTGGGTGGCCTATGCTCCTCCACGGAGGGTAGCAGGCGTAAGTAAGTAGTATCATGTAATATTGACTTATTGATAGTTATCCTGTTCGTTACATATAATGTTAACATTTCATCAACTCAACTAGTTTTTGTTAATTTAATTTTATGTTTAGGTCAAAGACCATCTGTACAAACTGCATCTATTCCGAGCTCTGTTTTACTAGCTGATCCCAGTGTGAATCTTACATCGCCTCATGGTTCTTCTATTGGTCAAAACAACATTGGTAAGTCTTCATCTGATTGCCAATATAGTATCCTAAACTACTCATATTTTTATACAGTTCTCATACATTATGAAGGATTAGTATCAGATTTGAATTACCCTTGGATCTTTTTACTTTCTGTGCATTATGGAAATTCTTGGCTTCCGTTTAAATAAGTATTATTATTGTGTGGCTATACTCAAACCATTTCAAATAAAATGAGGTTTAAAAACTCATGACTCGTTAATTAAATACTTATATCATTGAGTTGTGTATTTAGCGAACACTCAGATTGGGAAGACCAATTTATTGTTTAACACAAAATTACAGTGCTTTCGTAATATATATATATATATATATATATATATATATATATATATATAGTACAGTGTATGACGGACTTTTTTGATGAACCCTGTTTTTTCTGAATGTTTCAGGTTTCAATAGACATATCTAATAATGAATCAGAAAATATCCCACATGGTAACGTTTGATCTCACTTGATAATCAATTTTAACAGTTAATTTTATTGTTGCATTTAGTTTTACCATTTTCGAAATTTTTGTCTACATTATTTTTCTTGAGAATGTAATACATTTCTTTTTAATTTTGAACAATGTGTTTAGATCAGTTGTGTTTCCTTCTAATCCCTTATTCTATATCCAAAACTGACGGCTATTTCACTCAACCAAATAAATCTTCCTTTAATGCTCATTAAAAAACTCTGTTTATGAAATAAGTTCTATTTTATTGTAGTTTTAATTTATTAACACCCTTTCGTTTTCATATTCCCAACCATAAAAAGACAAACAAATAAATTAGTTGAAATTTAGTTTCTATGCATTATTATTACAGATCATCTGATATATTGTTTTTTATCTTCAATCTTGTCAACACTCAATGCATTAAAATAAAGATGAGATGTAACTTTTTGTTTGTTTTTCTATATCAATAAATTGTTTGTTTTAAGTAGTCAAAGTTCACTTTAATTCGACCTATTTGTATAGAGAAAATCTTGGATCCTAAATATTAAGTCATAGGCTTTGACCGCACTCTTTCTAAGTTTAAGCAGGTGGTCATCGTCTGAAACCTTATATCATAAGTTTGCCCTATTATCAAATACTTCATACCGTACTTGATCATTGTAAAGCATTATCAGATAAGTTATTGTTTTGTGTAAATATATTCAAGATTGTATATTTAACCTCCATAATTCTAACTTGTATTTGGTGTTCCAGAACCAATCTAATCAAAACACGTAATGTTATGGATAAGTGAACTATGAGAAAGTATGAATAAGTGGAGATGTGTCTGATTCTTTAACGTGTTTGTTCGAGGTGTCACATATCTTGTCGCAACATAAATAAATTAAACTGAGGGAGATGAAAGGAAGAAGAAACAATAATAATAAGATATCGAGATTAAAATGAAGACAATTTTTGTGCATATATCGTTTGCAACTCATTTTAAGTTATGTTTAGTTATAACTATTAACACTCTGTGGGTATCTCATCATTGCGGTTTCTCACAGTCCCTTGGTCATATCAATAGTTCACATTATTTTTGACTCGGATTTTCTCAAAACTGAATTCAAATATTTGCTACGTCATCAGTTTTATCGTGCATGAGTGATACTTCAATGGTTCATGTAGTTAAATACTTTCAATGGAAATATCTTTAGCTACGTAATAAAACATGGCGTACTTCTGCTCTTTGTACCAGAGTTTTGACAGACTGTCGAATAACATACTTTGATGATCAATGATGGATTCGGTTTACGTCTGTATGTGCAACCATTCCTCTAGTTTTATTTTGCTTTAAATGTGTTATGTTTTGTTAGATACAATGTTGACCATATGCAAAGTAAGGTATGATTTCAATGAAATTCAACAATCTCTACAACCTCATACTGTAAAGTAAATAATACTATTTCTTGTTTAGTACCAGTAAAGTACTGAATACTTTGATTAAACTGTACTTTAGCAACGAGCCAATCAAAGTCCAGTTAGTAATTCTGATTTGTACATAAAAGTCGAAATTCAATGATAGTTCGTATTCCTTACAGAGTAGTGGAAGCAGAAGTTGGCTTTATTTAATGCTCAAACATTTGGAATTGACATATAAATAGTCTACTATGCAATGAATATGAGATGTTATCAAAATTACGTTACGAAAAACTTTCGCTTTTTCAGATGCTGATTGTGTTTGAAACTTAAGTTATTAAGAATTCATTCCTTTTTCTATTCTTCAAAGTGCGCTTTTAAGTAGATCATCTCATTACCAACTTTGTGAATAATAAACACTTTTGTATAGTACAGATTACTTGAATCGGTCAGAAATCTTATAAACATATTTCTTTGATTGTTGTATTCTTACGTAATTCTGTAGGACTTTCAGGCAGTATGCACACAGTTATTGTAAACAATATTTTTAAAAAAAATCATGATGGGCCTATCTTTGACCTCTGAAACAATTAAGGTAAAGGTTATCCTCTTAAATTATGATTACTTGATGTAAAAGCAGTCGATCTTCAGATTCAGAAGACAAATTGTAAATCCTTGAAAAATTAATAAACACTGTAACAGTACTAAATACTTTTAAGCTTCACCGATTTTGTAGACATGAATTCTTGATTTTAAAAGTCTGTCCACTCATATGTTAAAATAAGATATAAGTATTCTGAAGTCATTTTTGGAGTCGCTAAAAGTAATCGTCTTAGCAGTGTTTTTCGTATACAGACACAACGGTAATGAAATTTGTTACATGTTTAGGAATTCATAAATTGTCTGGAAGATCTATTACTTACAAGATATTGCTGTCCAATAAACGAAATGGTTTTGTATTTCATAGGCAGAGGTATAGTTTTCAATTTACCGAACAAACAAAATATACTATTTTCAATGAAAAATTCAATCATTTGTTAGATATCTAGTTCCTAATTACTGGGATGTTTTTAAATGTATCTTGATATATTTATGTACAATACCAAAGTGTCAGTACTAAGCAGTGTCACGCAAAATAAGACAATGATATTGTGGAGAGATAAGAAACGAAGAAATCATATTATCAATTAATGAGTAAAAATAGCATTTATTTAGAGATATTTCTATCAAGATGAACTTCGTTTTGTTGAAATCTGAATCTCACTGTTTTCTTTTGGATTGTATATCCAACCTTTCACAACCAAAATATTTGTGTTAAAAAATGAGGCAGGTTAAGACAAACCAAATAGGCTTTCATTATGTATAAATTTATTTCACCCCTCATGCTGCCACCAGCACTCAGATTTCCAAATCATTACTATTCACAACTATATTACAAAGGATATGTAGGCTCCTGCCAGTTTCGCAGAAACACTGCGTCCGGGTAATGTAAAGTATGTAATAATCGCTTTGTACAATGTTACGTGTTAATTACGGTGAAGAATTTTCAGCTACCCGTCACAAAATTGTAAGTGCAATTTAAGTAGCTCATGCCATCGCAGTGGAATTATGTTAATTGGATCATTGCCCCCAAATGCCCTGGTACGACCAAGAGTGGGGAGAGTCACCTCTCCCTCTCGAAATGCTCTCATATGGCCAGCGAATATTATAGCCTCTGCCAGGGAAGTCCTACTCACTGCCTTCTCGTGGCGGGGGTGTTGTTTACGAAAGTGAGAGGACGAAAAGCGAATGTCCGGCGCTTTAACTAGGTTGGTGGACATGGAAAGTTCACCTAGGGGAGTTGGAAAACCCTGATTCCAAACCAATGGTGCACATGGGCTGGCTCCAGTATCCTGAGGGAACAAATAGCGTACGAATCAACCGTTGATCACCGGCTACCATAGGACTGCATCTCCTCACGATGCTCCACTGCCTTGTGGATCAGACATTCAGGTCAAAGGCTCCGGGTGTGGCCCCCTAAGAAAACCACCTGCTTCAGTCTGGGAACCTGGGCAGTATCACAGCCCTCACACAAATCGAATGAGATTTGTGCGGCGCATATTTATCTGGTGCTTCCTTGTACCAATTTTTGTGTTTAAATAAATAAATAATAATTGGATCATTTCCCGGATAATGTATCCACACCGTGTACTTCTTAACTGTTTTCCGAATTTCATCAGTGGCAGAACCGAGGAGGACTGGTGATATTGGGTAACTGTCTAATCTCACTGCTAGAGTGAATCAATGGAGGGTGGTAGTTGCATGTATTTTCTCTTCATGATATGTTTTTTCACAAAATGTTAATCAGCTCAGAAATACTCCAACAGGCTTCTATTCAACAAAGGGATGGGGGCCCTGATGTCAAGAAATAGTAATGTTATCTTGGAATGACTGTATATTCCATTGGGTCAATCACACATCGGTCAAATAGTAAGACCACACAGCTGGCCAAGACGTAGCTTCATTTTCTAAGGGACAGACGTGTATATGTGTATATGAATAGCTGTACAGTCATTACTCTATTCGGCTGGCCAATAAAAAAACTCATTAAATAAGCCGATCGGGACCGCGGTTAGAGTGCTTGTTTATCAGTAGCAGAGTCGAACAACACTACTGGTAGTTTTCAAGAACTTTAGCAGAGGGTGAAGATATGTTCAGTACACCCACGGAATAAGTGAAAACGGGTTACATCTTGTGAGTCAACTCGTTAGTTTCGTACAACCCTTGGAGATATAACGGAATTCAATACTTGAGAAGCAATTGGAAGCATATTTTTTCTCAGTAGTTGTCACATTATTTACGTGGGTCCTTTTTAGAGATGGATACTACAATCACTTCATTCGATGGTAACCGAACGCTTTATTTACCAAATATTTCCAAACAAACGGACCAGTTTTTTAACTAGAAATACGTCTTCATTTTTTAAAAGTGCCAGATCTAAGTCCTTTGAGCCAGGTAACTTATGGTGCTTCAAAATTTGAAGTTCCTCACAAACATTTGCTTCATTGGGTGGATATGTGGTTACATGTCCAAGAGCATAAGATATTTCCACGTCGCTTAACAAATGGAATAGTTAAACTGACGAGTAAAGTAATTTAGCTAGACCTCAAGATGCTCTCGACGATTATTAACTGGCATGTCGATGAGCTTATGGATTACCTCTCTGATACAAGTTTTCTTCATTCAAGTAGTGTGGGTGTCTTCAACTTCTTAGATCATTCTGATCACTGGGTTTAGCTGTTCTTAGGAATTCCTGCTCACTCCCTGCTATTATATGACTTGTAAACCCTGTCTTGATAAAGATGCTGGTTTAGTATTACTGGACATGGATGACCACATTACGATGATGTAGGAAGATTACTGTAAACGCTTATATGTGATGAAATTTATTATATGCAAAAACAAACATAAGATAAATAGTCCAGGAAAATCATCAGTAAGAATATTTACATCTATCCCTAAAACAAACATTTAATGCTACAGGGACTTCATTACTCACACTCCCTGTTCTTTAAGAATACCTTACAACTCTATTTTAAGAACGAGTTATGTATAGTTTATCCATTTGCACATTATGATGAGCTTATTAGGTAGGCACAATGTAAAATTTGTATATTTATCCATTGATTTAATTAAAGACAATTATATGATAAACAATATGGTGGTATAAATAGTTGTAAACTCATTACTTATAGATTTGTCACTACTAGAAACAATTATTATATTTTGATAAAATGGTGAGGGAGGAATTACTTCCAATATACCGCAAAAAATTCCATTGACCTTATTTTAATATGTAATATCAAAGTACAATTTCATTTGGCAATGAATAATTTAAACAGTTCCAATAAAATGTACTTTTTAATCACTAGTTATTGGTAATTTTATGTCCAAACTACCTAACTTTATCCATGTATGATGTCATTGAATATATACTGATCAAATGAGAACTGTAATAACTCTATGTTAGAAATGTATGTATATATGTTTATAGCCCAATTTTTGTGATGTTTATTAGTTGATCGAAATTCCCTAATAATCTTGGAAACGACATTCTTTCTCTAGGTATGATCGTAATCTCAAGTAGGATATATATATCAAGTGAATTAATCGACGAGATTAAAGTAGACTAGGTATTCGAAAAAGCCTGGCTATTTGAATAGCAAGTATATTTGCTGGTACAATACTACGAAAGTCACTGTTTAGAAGTTTAATATTTTGGAAGGATATTACTGTATGAACATTTACTAACCACTCATATCAAATAAAGAAACATTTCTTGATCTTTCTGTTTCATAACAATACAATGAAGAAAAGGAATGTATTCATACTTTTTTTTATCCTTCTTTTAACTA